AATGTAATTCAGTATTAGGTCAGTGCATTTTATTTACCACACACTGATATTATATTAATTAGCAATTAATTAACATGATGAAGTTTCGAGGACAATTTATTGATACTAATCACATTATTACCACACCCTTTCTCTCGGAGGAACGCTGCTGAGAAAAGAGAAAAAGAAAACATCTATTGACTCCATAATTGTGCCACTTTCTTTTATCTCATTTATTCAATTCACATATTTCCCATTATCTTCCTAGCAGGTTTCGAATTACCTCTCAGCTATGGATCTCTATGATGACGTAGCCATACAGATGAATGGTTGTATCAGAAACCCTCATTTAATAAATTAAGACTATCCTTGAAATTTTGAGAAGTTTCAATTCCTTCAGATATCTGAAGGCCTACTATTTTACTTTATATAAATTTGTATCCCTCTTCCCATATGGATTCCTGTGAAGTTGCCATCATTGGCATTTGTAAAGCCTAAATTTTTCAACGAATTAGACATAGTACTTATATTAGAACATACAGTGAAGTGCACGCCAATTTATGTCAACTTCCTATTCATGGGTGAATTATGCATGCAGTAGGATCAAAACATTCCAGAATAGCTCAGATTATTATCATCACAGATTTTCTGTGCAATTTAACTTTGAAGTGTCTTAGGCTAAAACCCTCAAAATTGACTTTTTGTATTAACCAGAGTGCCATTTAAATTCTTTTTTTCTTCCGTCTCATTAAAATGAATCATTTTTAAAAGCCTGAAGTATTCGCCTGAACAAAGTACACTACACGTTTCAAATTACGCATCAAGAATAACTATCTACAACTCACTATAAAAAGAATTGAATCTCATGACTGAGTTAATTTTGACTACATAGTTGGTGATATGTACGTTTCCTCAGTATTTCCATTGAAAATATTTACTAAATAATGATGACGCGATTTGGAGTGAACTAAAAACGCTCATAGGATAACCCAAGAACGACTAATTAAACACATAGTCTGGGTTATGTAGACACACAGATCAACTTTATGCACCGTAGAACTTTCTTGAATTTCTTGAATCAGCCAGTTATGAAACTTTCTTCCATACATTTTCCATACTCTGATCTGAAGTGACATAACGATGAACGTACCACCCAGAGTATATTGTATTAATCCAAAGGTTTCAATCTTGATCTCGCTGAAATAATAGTCATTTACTTCATGTGTATCAAATTCTTTGATCTAAATGTGATGGATGGTGATGGAACTGCAGATAAGTTTTACGTAGAAGAGAGGTAAAATAGTCCACTGAATATACCTCCATGTACGCATCGTAGTTAATTTGCGAAAGTTTTCAAGTGAACGACATTACAGTAAAGTTTAACTTTAGGACTTTTCCAATTCAAAAATTTGATATTGAGGAAACTATCACATTAACCACATTTTACTCTTCAGCATCCACTGCAGGAAACGCCTTCTGTGATTTTATCCAGACAGAATACGCAAAGCAAGGGAAGCACTTTCCACACGGAAATAATGATTCAGACGATTTCCACGGGATTGAATTTGAAGCCGAAGGAAGACACATTTAAAGAATACATCACATTGGTAAGGACACTCTGGTTGTTTTTCTACACAAAAATCTACAATTAGGTCGGAATTGATGTGATATATTTGATAATCATCATGTTGGCAGTCATGATTATCATAGGCAGCATGTAAGATTGAAATTAATCATCCAATCTTATTCTCACATAGAACAGCTCTTCAAAATTTTTTTTATAAAAATATCGCCATCACATTGGGAATTGTGTAAGTCAATTGTCTCAGTTTGTCATTGTCTCTTCTTATGGATATCGAAGCTGATGATTATTCTTCTGTTTGATAAATTCCGATGCTTTTACATAGAAAGTGTATGCATCATATCCACAATATTTTTTCATTTAGCGTATCTGCTGCCGCTCTGTTGGTCTTCACCTTTGCGGTCACGAAAATTCAGGAAAACTTTTGGTATTCACATATTGCTTATGGACTAATCGTAAGTATTCTGTTTTGGTTGTAGAATGCAGATGCCATTACTACTTGGAATTATTGTGTTTTACACTTTGTATGTATAAAGTTTCACGTAGGAAAGATGCGCTTAAACATGTTTATGTATGAGGTGACTATACGGTTTAAAAATGTATCATAGATGTACAATATCAAATGCTTTCTTTGAAATTTGTGGGAGGTAGCTCACATAGACTCAGGTACAGAATATCTCTTGTTACATGTATGTTTGGAGTTATGACAGTGATATAATACAATATGTAACTGTGAATAAAATGATTAGGCAGAACAAGGTGATCAATAGTCATCCTCATATGACAACATTATTAAGATGTTGCTTTCACATCATCAAGGTAGTTATCAAGAAACGGATGCCTCAACTAACTGTCTCCTATCTTTAAAAAGTTGAGATGTATATGTGAAACATGTAGCTTTATCTGAAATCTGTAGATAAGCGACGAATATTGCGTCAGTTGGAAGCTTTGCTGAAATTGAAAATTAGAAAACATGCTTTGACAATGACTGACAATGGTATACTACAGTTTACAGGTCACATTTTATCTTCAATAATGTTTCACCAATGTAAAAAAAATCAGTAGCTGTAGACAGTCATCCATGTCAAGATAATCTTTTCTTGAATTCACACTAATTCAGACTGATAGTGGAAAGCATTTCACCGATATTACTTGACAGACGTTCTTTTACTTTATTCTCTGAACAAGAAAAACGATTAGAAGAATTTTGACATTGTCAGCTGTCAACAAGCTAATGTCTCTGGGTGAGATAGTAACTAAACATCAATTATTGGATCTATGAAAGCTAAAACGAACTTGATAGCCTGATTTGATACTCTGCAATAATGCACACTGTGGACCTTCAAGAAATCAGTCAGGCACGTTTACCACTGCTTCATTTGAACGCAATAAAACAACCTAACAAGTTTAAACACTGTCATTTTAATCAGCATACATAGTGTGACTACTAGAAAATGATATGCAGACTCCATCATCCAGTCAATAGTTAGTATGTTTCACATCAACTTTCACATGTTGGTCTACAAGGACTTAGCCGAATGACTAAAACAAACATTGTGTCTACACATTGAGTTCTGTGAAATAAATCAGCCATATCTAAAGCGAGAAAGCAAAATGGAGGAATTACTGCTATTATTCTCTTCACATTTATCGAAGGAACGAAAGAGTCTCATCGCAAATAGCACGAACGATATACAAGTAACTAAAACTAAATGAACTGTAAACATGTCAGACAGAAATGCTAAGAGAAGCATAGAAAAGCATACTGATGAAAGGGATGAACTTCAAAATTAGTAAAAAAGATTAAAACCTGAAGACATTATACCTGTGATTGAAGGAGCACAAGAAGGACATGACAAGCAAAAAACAGAATCTCTACGCACACCATGTGCATTGACCTTAAAAATCCAAAAGTAGAAAAACTAAATGCGACAAATACGGAAATAAAAGCGCTTCAAGACATAAAAGCCGACAAATACATTGTCATTACTCGAGCAGACAAAGGAAACACAACAGTAATACTCAACAAAACGACATATACAGAGAAGATAAATTAACATTTATAATCTGGACCCTATATCCTAATGACGAAATCATTAGAAACAATCACAAACAAACACTGAAAGAAACAGCAAAGGTAGTTAGACTGATGAAAGAAGTAATTGGTAAGTCAAAATGTTTTAAAATTATACTCTAACCATGTGATATGCTTAGGATATATGGCAAGATAAAATGGCCAGAATGAAATTTGGGAACTGCGTCTGTTAGACTGCGAAGTACAAAGAATAACAGATGGCAGCATACAAACGACGCTATATAGGAAAACTATACATTCTGGAAGATTCCTTGATTATCACTCATCTCATCTACTCACGGTAAAGCGAGAATTAATTCAATTTATTCCACAAATAATATGTTGACTTAGAACATCAGATTAACAGCATAGAAAAAATTAATCGTCTTATTCAAAATGCAACTCGACAACAACTACCCAAAAGAACTTATCCAAGATAATATAAAGAAGTGAAAGATGAGGGTAAAATCGCAGAATAACTAGAAGGAGGATAGTGAAAATCGATCACATCACCATACAAAATGGGGCATCAGACGCACTTTCGAGAAAGTTCAAGAATATCGGGATTCGGACAACGTTTTAACCGATGAATCTAATTAAAATAAGAGAATTCAACTAAAAGATCCCACAAAAATGATAAATAAAAAAAGCCCAATGTACAAAAAGATATCTTGTACCGAGTGTCTGGCTAAACATGGGGGTGAAACATCCCCATCGCTAAGAACGAGAGTGAATGAACTTAACGCTTAACTTAAGGTCATTCAACATGTACACAAGCTGACAACAATACAAAAATAATTCATCTGTAGTTGTGCATGCATGAGACAAAAACCCCAATATTGATTCGAACAATGTGTGTATTCTGAAAACTAATATTTACAAAATAATTCCAAAAGTGGTGTAAATATGGGCAGTAATTTTGCTCGAAATATTACTAAAAACAAAAACTTATTATTCTGTATAAACCATAGAAATATGATTATACCTTTATTTGTTCGATTCCACAATGCTCAAAAGTTTTACTGACATTTAGTCTAATCAGCTCATCTCCTTTGCCACCACATTTCACTGACCGTAAGTTATCAATCCCTAATCATTTGATAATATCTGCATCACACACAGTGGTGCAACTCACTGGTTCTCATGCAACTTTCCCCGGCAAACTTGGCAAGTGATGTCACTTATAGTTTCACTCAGTGCGCATTCAAACATGTAATGCAAATGGGTTGGTAGTGGATTCCAGACTGGTGATATCCATATGACATAAGAGAACAGGTACATATAAAATTGTTTTGTATATTAATAAAACTCATCTCATTCCTAATATTGATAGTTACGATTACTTCATTCCAATCGATTTTACAGGTGCTACTCATATCCATCGCATACTGTTGTGTTTTTCATGAATTCGTTGCTCTCAGTATTTTTATAATTTTGAATGTGGTTCTAGCGCTAGCTGCTGCAATAGTGTTAATCGCTGTCAATCTGAAACGCTTAGATTTAACAGCGTTTACGGCAGTCGTATTTCTCGCAGTGCTCATTGCATTCATAGGACTCCTATCCATGCTTCTCTCCGTTCTGCGTGTCCCATTCTCTGTGAGTTCTTATTGTATTCTTTATATGCTTGAATGAGCATTTTGTTAATGTCAGATGAATATAATTGAGACTTTGTGGTCACACTAATGCCACGAGAATTTAGTGAACCAAATCCACAAACGAAAAAGTTGCGTTTGATGGAGCCGTCAAATTTTGTAATTTGACAATCGTTTTCTGCTTTATTGCAGTGTGGTGATTAGTATTCTATCCTATCTAAGGAAAATTACATGAGTGTGTGCAATACAGTTTGGCTATTCGATAAGCGACTTGGTTTTAGGAAATTTCTATAAGACAAAGAGCATTGGCCCAGTTACGCAGTGATAAGGGTGCGCTAATTGTGAAGTGATTCCATTGAAGGTTATTCATCATTTAGCCTTATGCAAGACATCGATTGCCAGCACCAGATAGACCAACATATTTGAACTGGTCAAACATAAGATACTGTGAATTTGTTAGGATGATTTTAGCAATTAATCAGAGTGAATCAGTGATTTTCTATGCAATTTTATCATGACGACCTTGTGAAACAGAATACTCCAGTTTTGATTTACGAAATAACGTTCAGACATCATTTTGCAGGGATTGGATGGCTTCAAAATTAGTCAGATACTGACATCACTCAGAAAACCACTGAATACCAAGGAGTTGTAAAGATCTGATTACTTCCTTATTGGTACTACCCCAGATTCGACTTCAGGTAGTGTCATACTTGCCAGGTTCTGAACATTCCTAAACTAAGACAAACATCATGAGAGCATTTCTCTGATTTAGGTGGTTCTCCAGCTACAGTCAGCTTCTGATCATGATTAAACTCAGTAAAATCCTTAGAAACCAATAGTAACGTTTATGGACCATATATCTTCAATGAAGACAATACTTTGTGTTTTCATTTTCAAATAATTCTAGGAAGCTGTGAGCGAACTGTGTCTCTGTTTCGGTGCAATGTTTGTGAGTTCAATCGATGTTTTTACCTACTATTTATTTCATTGGGTGATTTATCCCCTGAAAAACTCAAAATAAGTAACTCAGAGAAAAGGTTTTTTCAACATTTTTGCTATCACGCTATTCAGTAGTATATCAGTTATGAATGAAGTGAATAGTTAAACAACAAGTGACCATATATGCCATGTATTTCATGAAAAAGTTCATGGAATTTAGAAACTATAGAAAAGGCTTTGTAGCATTAATATGATTCGTAGCCAACAAATACTTTACCCAAGGAAGTGAGAATTATCATGAGACAACACTGAAGATGATAACATTGAATTAAAAAAATAAAATTGACATGTGAGATTATAACGGAAATTACTCAGAATGGAAATAATACTCACTATCAAAGTAATAAGGAGGGAATATACAAATGGAATAAAAAACAGGAAATAAATGGATCATTTTAAGAATAAAGATTATAGTAGTTACCCATAGAATGAAAAGAGTTAAATGAGCATAGTTGTGAGACAGTGATAATAATTAAATTGACTATCACATAGTCATTGACTACACATTGTGAACATTACCGCAAGGAGAGTTGTCGCAATGGACACTGATACTTTGAAAACACTAGATATTGGTTATGATTAATTTCGAGAGTGCAGCCAGCGTCCCAGAAATTTTCCTTTCATGCACAAAACGCCTTTGTTTACACCTATTTCTGCCATTTCAATGATTCATCGGATGCAGGTATTCACCATCAGCGGAATATTTCCCCTTGAGCTTATTATGTCTTCAGACAGAATGAAGTTGCTTTTTCATATTAATCAAGTCTCTTTAAACAAATTTAGTCACTTTAGAAGCATATGTAATAATACTCAGCTATGATTTTGGATATGATATACGGAACAACCTATGCTCTTCATCTCTGAAGAGAATGGCGATTAGTAGAAATGACATGAAGTTTTACGCCTACTAGGGTTTCTGTTTCTAAGTGTTGATCAATTAGGAGTGTTATAATGTTACTCGGTGGCACAGTGGTTAGGACATAAAACTCCCTTGTTTACACCTATTGCTGGCATTTAAATGATTCATCGGGTGCAGGTATTTACCATCAGCGGATAATATTTCCCCTTGAGCTTATTATGTCTTCAGACAGAGAGACGTTGGTTTTTCATATTAGTCAGGTCTCTTCAAATAAATGTGGTCACTTTAGAAGCATATGTATTATTACTCAGCAATGACATACGGAACGACTTGTGCACTTCATATCTGAAGAGAATTGAAATTAGTAGAAAAACTTGAAGTTTTACACGTGCTACGGTTTCTGTTTCTAAGAGTTAATGAATTAAAAGTATCAAGAGGTTACTTAACTCACCACTGGTTTATACAATGTTCTAGTAAAATGAACAAGCATCTTATATGTATTTAGTGGCTTCTAGCTGTAGCTTTGAAGTTTTGGAAGCAGTGGTTTTCATTTTTATGGGATTGCTTTGCCAGCCCTATGCTTAACCTTCCTTCTTCACCAGTCCTAATACTGGCTTCGCGATGCATAGGAGTGCTCCTGCCAGGGACTGAACCTCAGACCACATGAGTGGTCGGTGACCATATTACCGCTCTCCCTCCGACGAACGCATGTTTTATTTACAGTGCCAAAGAGGAAGTATCTTTGGAACAGTAGCCAGATACACAGTATTTCTTCTGTGCAATCATGATCATAATGTCAGATTGAGTCATTTGATCCTTGTTCGGAAACACTCACTTTTTCATTTAAAAAACAAAACGCGTCATCTATGTGGCCTCATTTATCGTGATATATGAATAACTGCTTAATGAGACATGTGAATGCGATTAATATTTACTATTGAAACAATTCGACTGAGTGGCGCTATTTTCGGAAATCAGCTTTAATACAAAGTTCTCAATCATGATTCCCACATCAGTTGGGTTTTTATCTTATGTCAGTCTTTTAGATTGGGCTTGAAGATGGTGCTTTGCAATTTTTTTCCTATTTACAGGGTTTATTCCTTCTTGGAAACACGGTACGCTGCTGCGTAGGGAATGAACATCCATTCTGTTTTGTAATGAACCAAGCGTTCTGTTTCTGGATTTTCATTACTCTCTTATTCTCGGCAATTTACCTGTTGACATTACCTCTAAAAACGAATGCTGCTGACAGCGTGCCAGAAAAACCTGAGGTAATCTTTTTTATAATGACTTTGAAGTGTTACATTGATGTTTCTATATAGAGCATCTATAGTATGTGCGTTTGTTTGTGTTTTGAACTCACTGATTAAAAAAGATTCTATCTGCAGCAGTTGTCATGGTGTGGTCTTGAACTAGCACAGATTAATAATCAATTGAGAACAAAGATTTGTACTAGGGTTATTGCGACTGAAATATTAGGAAGACGTTGGTTAGGCTCAATACGTTTGCCATGAAAGATAAATTTGCCCGCAGCTTAGCTGCCACTGTAGGATTAATTTGCACTATTGTAGGATTTTGTTACATCTGTAAAGAAGCTATGGAGGCTATGTATCTGTCCCGGAGAGAAATTGATGAAAAAATTCTGACTTGGAAAGCCAGACATTTCATCTTAAAGTAGAATGGTTCACATCCAGTGTCATGACAACTTGACACCCTCGAGGTTTTTCTTTTGTTGTGAAATGAATCGGTAACAATTAAAATAAAAACACAGTTAAATGTAAGAAGTTAATTGGTGGATGGTGACTTGCACTTCGTCCATTTTGAGATGTGCCATATGGATGTACCTGCATTCCGCAGTGAGTGATTATGTTTCCACCGATGTTCGAACTCAGTGCAAATCTGAGACTAAGCACATCGGATCAATCGATCGATGGGAAAATCTAAAATTGAATTCAAAGTTAAATGTAAATCAATCAACATTGATTGATTACAACATTATGCCCATGCTTCTGGAAGCCGAACTTCCCTGGCATCGATAAACATGAACAAGTTGTATAAGGAATATTCTGCTTTATATTTTGTCTCAAATCATGGACAAGTACCAGCACAATTTGAACTCAGTTACCTTGAAATCGCTAAACGGAAATCAGAAAAAGGTGAAGTGATTCTTTCGAACCAATTAAGCAGAGTAACATTCGCTCACTGGACATTTCAATGAAGACTGAATATAAAGAATTTCAGGAACCAGAATGATTATCTTCAGCGACAAAAGATAAAATGAATAAAGTGAGTGGCCCGCTACTGAAGGACAGCTGGAAACTATCCACTTAAAACACAAACACATAAAGGATCAAGACGTTGGTCGACAGTATCTCTGCTCTGCGTTTCAGCAAGGCTTTGAAAAGTAAAAAGAAACCAGAATATCACTAAACGACTCGTTTCTCAATGAAGCTTGATGATCAAATGGTACTTATAAAGTAGCAGGATCAAGTCGATCAAGCAATTTTCATGTTTATGTCTGCTTTACATATGGGAAATACGGATTCATTTGAGAAAATACAGTTTTTGTAGTTTCATTCTCATAATTCATAGTTTGGTGTGCAATATTCAGTGCCTGTGGCACAGCGATTAGGACGCTTGCCGACCATGCACACGGCCCGGGGTTTGATTCTCGGCCAACGCACTCCCGATATCAGTGGTCGGCCTGCAAAATTTGGGGTACCGATATCACATGCCGAAAATTCCATACGTGTATCAGAAAAATACTGTGTGGAGTAAAGCTATAATTAAATTTTAAAAAATAAAAATAAAATTTGCCACATATTCGTTCAACCCCTTTTATAAGGAAGTTAATTTTCTTTATTTGCAGTCTGATTCCCAGGAAACAAGTGGACAAGTATACCATATCAAGTGAAATAAATTTTTAATTTTGGAAATCCATTCAGAAATGCTGAATGTCATACAAAAATACAACATTGCATGAATAGATACTGGCACTTTTATCTGATATCACTGATATAACGAATATGTTAATTATTTCTATAAATGTAGATCCGCTATTAATAATGATGTTATACATTTAATGAAATGAAACATATCGTGTTTGATTTTCCATAAAATGCTGAAATTTGACAGTTAAATCCGCATGTATTTATAAGGGCTTATTAGTTATATGTTGTTATTCCTGAAATATTGTGTTTGGTGCGATGATCTCATCAGTTATTTGATGAATAAACCTTCAGTACATGGAAATCAGTTTGTCTCTAGGTGAGAGTGATTCATAAGAGATTTGACTGACGTGTACTCATAGAAAAGTGGAATGCTTCAGCCATACACGCATTTGATGAGTTTTATCAGAGCAGTAGATTTACTTGCTATCTGTTTCCAACTTGACAAAGTTTTATTCATGCACAAACATTGTGATTTGAATGTGATCATTTATTAGACAACAATCACCATCAGACAGGTTAGTAGATTTGAAGAATCACACCGTTCACATAGAAATGTTAGGTGACTATTAGTATTTTGGTCACCGTTTGAAAATCCCATGAAGGATAAAACACTGAGTCTGATCTCCACTTATTTATGTTGCATATTTAACAGTTGAATATCACCTTGGGTTTCAGGTGTATTTCAACGATTCTGCACAGTAAAGTTTCGTTCTCTATTGTTATTTAGATGATGAAATTGACAATTTGATGCTTAAAATGACAAAAATAAGAACAAAGTTCTGTTAAAATCGCACGGGTGCATCAGGCAGTATACTCCTGAAATTAGAAAGAAACTAGTAACGAAGATAAGTGTGATTGCTTGGTTAATTAAGACACAGCCGTGCAATTGTTGTGAAAGTAGGTACAAATACCAAAGGCACGGTTGACATAGATATTGCCGTTTAGAATGCATCCAGCTTCAGCATCACATCTCCACTCCACGTGGTAACCTACTATTATTTTCAACTAGCCTCAAATTTACCCACGTGCTTCGTTTCCCGCATGCATTATCGACGCCATGTAGCATAAGATATCAAGCAGCTTGGCACTTATTGAGGTTCCATTTTAGTAACTGCCACCCGATGTACCTGGATGTCAGTTGATTTCACCTTTGGTTGTGAGACGAATATAGTGTTTAATTATCAACAGACACGCCAGGTTGCTGGTCAATCTACCATGGAAGATGAAGCAAAATCGGAACTAATATTAGTGTAATTATTAAAATATAATGGGATGAGAAATATCACGTGTTTTTAATTAAAAAGATAGGATGTTTTATTGCAAAATCAGTGAACTTGTCAGAATGTTATCTTCCATCGTAAATTAACTAAAATTACTTCTCTCAATTCTCAACAAATTACATGCGACTAGTCATTTAATTTGACATACCATTTTCAATCTTTTCTTCTTTGGTATGCTTTGTGGAAGTTGTGACGAATCATTTTATTGTTCTTGAATAGAAATGAATATATAAATTATTCTCTTATATATTTTCAGAGGACTTCAGTTATACTTTTTCATACTTCATCACTTTCGCTATATCTATAGTATGTCAAATGGTAAATCTTGTGAATATTCTTTATTTTTAATAATCTGCAGTTTGATGTGTGCAGTTTTCATCACATTACTTTGTCCCCACTGGATGTTCCCAAATTTAAGTTTTATAGTATGCGGTAAATGTTTGTACAGATTTACAGTTGACATTTAAGTTTCATTTATTTTCTGACGGAAAAATGAAGTGAATAAACGTGGGTTATTTATTGAACTAAAAATCATCCAACCGAGTAGGCATAGTGATTTTCAGTGTCCCTCGAATAGACTCATCTAATAGGTGTAATATTTAAATAGACAATGTTTACAACATTGCAGGAAAGAGGCAGCGAATAGTGATCGACAATTTTGTTTATCTCCGATTACCTGAACGATGGTGATACGAATATACTTTTCAAATCTGTAATTAGCGAATTTTCTCGTAATCTTCTCCAATGTAAGAAGATGCAATAATGTGTACTCTGCATGAAATTGAGATATGCCTAATGCACAAACCATTCAATTCTTCGATAGTAATGTGCTAACCTTTTAAATCTAGGAAATGAAACAATTACGGCTATTTTCATGTTTGTTAACCTTAATTAATGCGGATTCCACCTAAAATCAGCTGCTATTGAAGCAAACTTTTGCAGTGCTCTGACGTGTGTCTATAGTTAGACGACCACTTGTCAGCGTTCTCCTCATGTACTTCGAAGTTATCCTTAGTGAATTAATCGTCGCTTCACTACAGGTTTTTGGATTGGTTGCAGATGTTCTATTCAATAAAACTTAGTTAAATATGTGCTTAATTGTTTCGAACACAATTCTCTATTGATCATCGTCATGGAAAATGACGTAAAACTGAATAACACTGACATTTTCAACTCATGATTGGTGAATGTGACCACAGGGTCGTCTTCGAATTTTGGTTGATTCACAAACGCTGAGAACTGCCTATTAACAAATCAGAAAAATGTTTGATACCTAATGGCTGTTGCTTCAGTTTCGTTTACTGTTGATGTAAAGTGCTATATTTGCTTGTGTTAATTAGGCGATATTTGTGTCAAAACTACACTTTTATTCATCAACTTAACGGTCGGGTTAACGGTTTACTTCAATTATGTGTTAAATTTAACTGAACTCTAGATCCGATTTCAAGGATGAGCGCTATAGTATATTTGGAACCATCTGATATAGACGGATAGGAATATTTGTTTGGATCTCCAAAGAGATGTTCCGTCTAAGCTACTACATAAAAAACCGTACCTATCTGGAATCATTCAATCTCTGCTTTTACCATTTGTTAACTCGCGTATCTTACCTAATGTAGTCGAAATGTTTGAACTAACATCTCAGTGTTTTCAAAAAAATAATTTTCTAAACACTTATGACAAACAGATTTTGTTTTGACTGTTATTTTTAATAATGAAATAGAGGGACTTCGCTCAAAAATAATTAGTGAAATATTGTATCTTTTTAGGCGATGAAAAAAAAATGTTTAGTCTTTTTTAGTCCCCACTTATTCAGGAATCTACTGAGGTTTCACAGTCTGAATGAATTTGAACTGTGTACTCTAAAACTGTACAAATTTTTTATCAGTAAATGTTACTAAATTGATAATAACGATTTACTATTCTACATATCAACTCAACAAATAATTCGTTTGTTATAGAGAAGATGCAAAGTCTAATAGTAAAAAATCAGCACTTGAATAACCATGATTAATATGTACAACAGGAGACTGCATGCTG